GTTGAGCCAACTCAAATCCTTTAATTTGTGCGAAACATGCTGACGTCCCCGTAACCCAAATATCAAGCGCAAACAAGAATTTTCTGAATTTTTTTCGTATTACTATACGACATACACGGATCATACAATGTATCACAATAATTAAAATGCGCTAACACCAAGGCCTCGCACAAAAGCACCCTTGTTCTACGATTGAGAAACGACCGACTGCCATAAATCAGCTTAAGAACAGCATACGCGGAAGCAGTGCACTTATAGATGTGTTTATTAAAGTTTAAATTTTCGTCCAATAAGACTCCCAAGATTCTCATACCATCCTTCAGCGGCAATACTTGATGGTTGACAACTATCTTAACTTAATCCTGAACAGAATTGTCACTTATCTCCTTTCTTGGCCCGAATAAATTCAGCTCTGATTTAGCAGCATTCAGACAAAGGCAGTGACGCCTAGAAACCAGCTCCAAAGCCTCTATATCCGAAGTCAGACCAAAACAAGCATCATCGACATCCGATGGCAGAAAAGATATATACAACTGGGCGGCATCCGCGTAGAAATGATGATTACAACTTTTTATGTATCTATTAAAATGCGATGTGTAAAGTGAGTATAGCAATGGACCCAAAATTGAACCCTGAGGAACAGCGGACGTCATTCACCTTCATGCACTGCATTCTGCCCGACAAGTAACTGTACAAGAACCCCGATGCAAAATCATCAAATCCAATGTAGCGAAACATGGCGTACATCAAGTCATGATTCATAGTATCAAAAGCCTTTGAATAATCTAAGAGACACATCAAAGTCAATTTTTCTTGGTCTCTGCTTCGTATGACATCGTCCACAATATTTGATAGAGCTGTATTACAGCCATAATGCTTTCTAAAACATAACTGTGTAGGCGGTAAAAGGTTGTGTTCCGTAACATAGTCCTTTAATTGTGATTCGATTACTCTTTCTGTAATTTTTGCCAATATCAGTAAAATACTAATTGGACGAAGGTCTTTGAGGTGATCAACATTCGCTTTCTTTGGTGACAGGTTTTCAGAGGCAGAATGATGGACTTTTTCCAACAAGTGCGGAAATGACCTACAGAGAAGCACCCATTTATCATATGTGTAATAAAAGGCAAAATATGAGGAAAACATAGTTGAATAAATTTGATGTTTAAACCATCGAGACTCGCCGAGTTATTTTTAGTACTGTGCATGACGCGCATCACCTGGTCCTCATCAACCCCCCTAAACGAGAATTTATTTACGATTATCCTATGAGTCATATAAAAATTATACATTTCATTGTAGCGTGGCAAATTGGGCAACGAGTTTATGAAGAACTGATTTATGGTATTAGGGTCAGCAACATCGTCCGTAACGCAAAACCAAAAAAATCCCCTTAACAACGTCCAAACCTCCTTACTATTTGCCCCACAACCACCAATCTTCTATTAAAAAAAAGCACGTTTCTCTCTTCGTATCGATTCATTAGTAAGATTTCGCAGTGATTTATAATAATCCCAAGAGGAATGTAGCCTATTCTTTTTAAATACCCTATAAGCCTTGTCGCGAAGACACTGCATTTGTCTGATTGTACTCGTCAACTAAGGCGCAGGAGGCTTAGTAAAGCGTGAAGTTACTAAGTAGGGGCATATGATGATTCATTAAATACATTATTGCATCATTTAGGAATTCTGCCATCCAATCCACATCATCTGTGTCGTAAATATTAGCTAACGGTAAATTACGGAGATCAGCTAGAAAATGGTCATAGTTGAAATCATTAGATTACGGTAAGTACGATAACACGGGAGAGATACTTTGGTCGCAACGCTAAGTTCACAGTAAATTAAATCATGATCAGATATGTTTACATGTTCGGTATTTTGATTAAGTAATGAAGTCTGATTCGAAAGAAAAATTAAATCAATTAGACTGACCGACAAACCAGTCACACGTGTAGGGGAATCCATAATTTGAACTAGACCAAAAGAAGACGTTAAATCGAGCAAAGCTGAAGTTTGATTATTACACTTCAATAAATTTACATTAAAATCGCTGAGTAATACCAAATCATCACACTCAGGTGCAATAGCGGCCAAACTATTCTCAAGTTCCTCCATGAAACTAACAAGATTAAAATTAGGGGGTCTGTACACAACACCGACAGTCATTGCCGTTCCATTGAGCCGAATCAGAATCCATAGCTGTTAAATTTTATTATTTGTTGGGATAATACTATATTTTATGTTATTTCCGATATATATCGCCACTCCACCGCCACGGCTACATCTTTCTTGCCGCAAGAAAGAATATGAATCAATATTTAAATAGGTACTGTCATGAGAATCGTTTAACCAGGTTTCAGTCAGACCCAGAAGAGAAAAGCCGGTCCCCAACAACAAACCCTTCAAATCGCTAAAGCAGGGCAACAGAGATCGTACGTTCAAATGAGCCAAAGTAAGACTCTGCATCGGTCGAGAAGTGTACTAAATTATGCTAAAATTAAAATTAAACCCTATAGATTATTTAAATTGGAATGTAGATTTATGCTGAGCAAATCGCTCTGTGAAAACAAATCAAAACCAAAGAGGCAGCAAAAAAAACAACAACTTCAACTTTATTAGAAAAGAAGCTTAATTGTATAAAAAAAACATACAAAAGAAAATAGGCAAGTTCCAGCTTGCACTAGCTAGTACAGCTGCTCTAACTAACCTAAGAAACAAAAAAAGAAAAACATGACTAAAATTATAAAGCAAGAGCTAAATATAACAACAAGATTGCAAAACATGTCAGATCAGCGTGTGCCCCCATGTAGACATTGTTCAAGAAAACAAGAATTTTTCTGTGTAAATTTAAACCTTCCTAGTGAGAACCCCTTACAATTATCGTTCACCTCATTATATTGCGAAGTTATTTGAAATATGTATGACCTCTGAAATAAAGACAAACGATAGAAGGGTTCGGATTTCGCGGAAGACCGCCTTCCGCGAAATCGTTTATTTATTAGGTGGACATCATTTCGGAAAGTTATCAGTTGGTAGAGATACTGTGGTTCCTTATAGTTTATAATTTGAAGGTATAGGCACAAACACTGCACTTTCCTACGATGATACATATTTAGCCATCCCGCATCCTTCAGTTTATAAGATATTCTGTTATATTTTCTAATTCCATATATATATACCGAAGACACGAGTTTTGTACTCGTTGAATACGTGTTACATCGCTAACGTCAATGCACTGATGGTAGACCTCAACACAATAAGTGAATTGAGACAAAACAGAGACTTCGCACAACATCTTTTTCAGATGAATACCAAGGTAGTGTCGATGAGGAAACAACATCCTCAGATGATAATAAGCCCTGGATATACAGTTGGAGACATGCTTCTTACAGCGAAAACTGTTATCCATAATCATACCCAAATTCTTTACCTCACTAACCAAAGGAATGTTACAACCATCAATTTGCAAATCAATACTTTCAAGAAAACCATTACATATAGCGGAATTTCCAAAAAGCATAGCATTGGATTAACTCGGATTAAGATGTAAACCATGTTCCCGAGCCACTTTATGAATGTAATCAAGGTCTTTTTGCATATTCGTAATACCCAACACGAAGTCGCGTGGATCAAAGGAAACATACATCTGCAAATCATCCGCATACATATGGTACTCACAATGATTTAACCCCCTAACGATTTGAGATGTATATAAAGAAAATAGAATAGGCCCTAAAATAGTACCTTGTGGTACATCCTTGTTCAAACAGCGAAATTCAGACAAAGCATCACCGATTCTAACCGACTGATGCTTATTACTTAAATAATGTTCAATTAAGTTTAAAGCGGATTCACTGAAGCCAATATACTTTAATAATTCCACAAGCAAGTCATGACAAACAGTATCAAAAGCCCTACTAAGAGTTTGTGACTTATCATGTTATCATGGATGTTTTTGGTATATAACCAGGATTTAACTAACCGTAGAAGACATCCTATCCATACTATCGTTGTTGAAGAAAGAATCCCTCCACTCGTGGCCGAATTGTTCATCTTCAACTTAAATACCACAACTCGACTATCTTATAACGTCGATTAAGAAACATGTTTTGTGCAAGAATGAATACCACATTTTTCAGATCTTATTCTAGTATATAAGGTGCCGAAGGGTAATAAGGCCCACCGAAAAATAAGGCGCACACTCAAATTTTCCGGCTACGGTGGACCGAAAGCATTCTGCTAGTAACATGTGGTCGGCAGGTTCACTTGCAGTATACTTGCTAACGCATGTGTGTGTCTATCGCGTTCAAAGTGTTATAGTCGTTTATTGTGCAATAAGTAGCACTCACGTATAATCTTTACTTAAAGGTATGTTTAATGATTTGTTGTTACGTTATATGATACATTGCTTTTTGTTATATTAATACAATATTCATTTAGTGGGCATGATATTTCACCATGTTTAAGTTTAGGTTATGTTGCTATTTAATACAAATTATGAATTTTTCTGACATGTATGCATCCCGGAAAATAAGGCCGGAAATTCGTTCGTGGGCCTTATTTTAAGGTAATTATATTTCGGATAGTTAAATATAAATGTCGCGGAATACGAGGAAACTAGGACAGCGAGATGATGGAAGAGGCTTAACAGCTTTTAAAACAAGGGCATTCGCAAAGGGAAGTGGAACAACGAACTGGAATTCAGCGACGTACCTTAAGAAATCACATGAATACTGGAGTAATCTCGAGAAATCTTGGACGTAAACCAATTTTGACAGAAAGACAAGAAGCTGATTTGGAATACAGAATAATTCGATTAGCAGCTGTAGGTCTTCCTCTTATCCCAAAACTCTGAGAAGAAGTGTTTTTAGTTTTATAGAAACCAATCGAATTGACTTGCGTCAAAAGAGAAAGGGGGAAGCAATCGTTGGTAAAGATTGGTATGCTGCTTTTTTAAAGCGTCATCCAACAGAGCCCGAAAGGTTTCAAACAGTTACCATGAGGCCAAAAGGAAGTATGACAACTGAGTTGTTCTGCAAATGGCTGGACCATTTTACTAGATATAAACCTGTTGGAACAGTATTGCTCATATTTGATGGTGCCGCTTGCCATCTTGATATTATAATTGCAGACAAAGCTGAACAAAACGATATTGTACTGATATGTCTTTCAAGCAATACAACACACCACCTCCAGCCTGTCGACAAAGCAGTGTTTAGATCATTCGAACACCACTGGGACGATGAATTATTACAATATTGGGACCAAAATCCAGATCGTCGTTTAAGCAAATATAGATTTTCCGCTGTTTTTACACCTGTCTGGGAAAAATGTATGACGATTGTAAACATAACAAGTGGATTTAGAAGTACCGGCATATACCCTTACAATCCCAGCGCTATGCCAGATGAAGCTTTTGCCCCATTAACGATATCAAGAAGGATTTTCGAAGTAGATACGTCTTCTGATGAAGACGTACCATTATCAGAATTACGTTTGAAGATTATTGGGTAATAATAAACCCACGGTAATAATTGAACCCAATCCTGGGTCATCAGGTATTCAATGCAAGCATCAAATAACACACACAGAACTTATCCTTCATGAGCAAAAAAAAGAAAATACCTTACGAGAAAAATCATCCAGACTTCAAAGCAAGACTTTTAAGGAAATTTTAAAAACCCCCGATTTTACGTAGAAAAAAACGTCGCCCAAAAGAAGAAAGGCCATCATTTATAAATCACAGCATATAACGAGAAGTTTATTTAACAAAGACAATAATCGTGAAACCAAATAAATATGGTGACGGTGCATCATGGTATTGTTTCCTTTGTGACACGAATAGACATTTAAATAAAATAAAATATGCGGTCTTGCTTGGTTTGTAGCTCATGGATACACGAAGAATGTGCTGATTTTGTTTCAGATGATGAAGGACAATTTATTTGTCCACGGTGTGAAAATTAAGTGATTTTATATACAGGGCTTTATTTTCCACGTTTTCTGAAAATACAGCCCAGTGTCGCTTTTTTATAAATCTTATTATTTTATCCTTTGAGTTTAATAAATACCTTATTTTGTTACCTTATATTTAAGAGAATATGTCCAAGTTTATATTAGTCAAAAATATTACCACAGCAAACTATTAGTTTTCAAATAAAATGCAATATAATTTTAGGTTTTATTATCCTCCCGTACCTTAATGTTTTTTCCTGTGTTATTCCAGCATCTATATGTGCCCTTGATAAAGTATGGAATAATGAACAAAATATATATTTATTAGTGAAGGCAGAATTCTGTTTTTTGAAAGACTGTAGTTAGTTACATTATTGTAATTTCTTAGGATGCCCACTTCATACGTAACCGACGCTGTCATTACAGATTCTTCCCACCTTATTCAGCTCTGTGAACATGGAACCCGAGTTTACGATATTTTGATTTTATTACTACCATTCGATAGAGAATCGTTTGTACTCGTTTGTACCACCTTTACTTTCGTTTGTACCTCAGGACTTAAAGAAAGAAAAAAATTTACAATTTCAGCGGTATTCTGAAAAATCAAAAAATCGCTGTATTTTGGAACCGGTTGAGGTACAATCGAAATCGAAAGTGGTACAAACAGGTGCAAACGATTCTTTACCGAAAGGTATTAATAAAATTAGAATATCAAAAAGTGGGGTTACAGGTTCACAGAGCTACCTTATTCGGCCTCGAGCCATTTATCCTTGGAGTAAGTACGCTCCTCCCGAGATCTTTGGAATGTGGTCTGAACACAATTCAAATTTGATTATTGTTAAAGAATCCTAGTTGTGAAATGAATGTGAAATTGTTAATAGATTAATTACTTCTTGTAATATAATCCAATATCACAGGAACCAATTTCGGAAGAACTGAGTATCTTGGCCTTTCAGTAGTGATCTTGTTTGTATGTGTTAATTTATTGACATTGGAGGGTTCTCCTTTCATTTTCATAATATCTTCTTCAATTTTTCACAACTGCTCCTTTTATAATTCTACGTTGATGTTTTTAAGGCAATTTCCGATTGATACTGGGCTTCAGCAGTACAACTGTAGGCAACGTATTCAATCTAATAGAATCTAACGCATTACCTTAAACTCAGCTGTTTTTTCTTATGTTCGATTTTCAAACTTATTTAGTCATGCATTCTAAACTCATTCATAACTTATTTTCTTATAGCCCACTTTTACCACCTTTTGATAAATTTGTCCGATAGATAAATCCCGCTCTTACCTAACGAGAGCGCTTAAAACCGCTGTAACCATAGTAGTTTAACAGCAGGAAGATAAAAGAGGACCTTAGAGAGTTAATAATGATGAATATTTGGTTATATACATTTTTTTTACTTTCACATTTTTATTTGTCATTTGCATAACCTTTGAGTAATTATCTTTCTCTCTAATGCTTATTAATCGATGTTTCACATTTCTAGATCATTTCCAATTTAATGCCGCTCCTAAAGCAGTCTATAGAAATGTTTAAAAATTAAAAAGTGGTCTCCACGATTTATCTGCCAACTGCAACCGTTTAACTTCGTTTTAATTTTGTTAAAAATAATGTATCTCCAAACGATATGAATGTAGATTACCAATTCGAATACCTAGTTAGAGAAATATTAGTTTAGAAATAAAACTTTAAAACATGGTCATTTTCTGTTTCGGGTGTTTATTTTCAAATAATTACGTATGTATTTAATTGCTTCCAAAGTAGTTTGAAAATCTGTGATCAGATGACAACACTTGAGACCCCTTCATAATAGAAGAAAACGAATGGAATTCTCTTGCGAATAAAGCTGGTTGAAACAAATTACTAAATCTTTGAGCAGATAAACATTGTCTTGGGAAAGCCCCTCTAAATCGAATGTCAGCAGTTTCTATTTGAAGATTGATGATTCAGTTTAGATATATCTCTTTCTCTATTCGACCCTAAATGCTTTATTAAATATTTATTGTTTTCCTTTTTAGTATTTCTTTGAAATGAGTAAGTTAATTAAACCTTTAAAAGAAGTTTTTTAATAAATAGAGAAACTCGGACGTAAATACAAATTAGCGAAAAGTTAAGACAGCTATCAGCTGTAGTTTCCTTAGCAAAGTTCGCAAATTGGCGTATTTCGCCGGATTCAAAAATAAACTTGCGGGTCGAAGTTACAGTTTTACGAAATAGAGGACTAACATTTCTGCTAGCAAATGATGCAGAAATAAACTTTGCGCAAGAGCTAAACAAATAGCATCGGCCGTCGACAAAACACTGCTTTATGATTGTGTTGTTGCCAAAGTCTGCGATGCATTTACACTTTTTTTCGCGCGACTTGTATGACTAATTTTCTGATCTACGGCCTTACTTACCAGTGGCGGATCTTTAATTATTTATGTCGACACTTTAGCGACTTGGCTTCGTACTCTTGATAATTATTTAGAACGATTTCGAGGCTTTCAGGTAGTTTCAGCGACGCAACCCACTTAGATACTTACGATGTGCTTACGCGCTCACACGTTCAAAGAGATATTATTAATAGCCCGAGAACCATATCATCTTATGAAATATATGGACGAACATAAATTTAACCACTTTAAAATATTGATTTAATTTGGCAAAACTTCAAATTCCTTCACAGATCAAATATTCTACAGATAACGATTTGTCTTTTTCATTATTATGCGATTAAATTAAAATTTTAAGATTATTTTACAAATAAAGATGTGGTGAAGGTTTAATTATTTTTATATAACCGCACTCTGAACATGTTGCCAAATGTAAGTACAACTAATTCTACTCCCGCAAGCTCCACGTGTTAATAGCATTTTTAATGGCAATGACCCAAGCGAAAATGTCTAAATATTTACGGGAGCTAAAAGCAGTTAAAAATTAAAGTAGCAAGGTGTTAAGAGCATTAAGTACTTTTGGATATGTAAATGGATTAAAAAATGGCTTAGATTATAAAAACTTTTAATTTTAATTTCCACTTTTTTATAATACTTATTTTTCATCATGTTGATTTAAAAGTGAGTTTATCAATTAATGGATTGAAAAATCAAATAGATCAAAGATCAAATTGCGGTGTTTATCTTAGTTAGTCAATAGATTATTCATTAATAAACGATCCTTGAAGTTTTTTTTAAAGAATGTCAATATTAACCCTGAATTTCGAAGATTTAACTAATTCCCTTAACTCAAATATTTGAAATACAATTTCAGCTAATCTATTAGGCCAGCATTCCGAGATTAAATTTTGTGGTCGTTGGAATATGGGGTCTAAGGACGGAGCAGGCGGTTTCAAATTAAGTCGAATGTCCTTCTTACAAATTCATAAAGACGGGTGACTTTTACGTAATAAAATCAGAATGTAAATTACACTTTTCAGTATGCTTTTTTTTGGTAAAATTGCAGTGAAAAAAATTTAATTCTCTGCACTTCAAAAAACGCTTTAACAACGATGCATTTTATTGCAGCGATTTAACAAAAAAAAAGGGTTCCGCATTTTCCGTCCAACTGCGGACGTGGCCAGAATTTGTCACGGGGATTTTGAATCAGTACACTCTGGAAGATTAGTGGTGTTCATTACATTGACAGATGGGCGTCACGGGAAAGCACCCCTCTATTGGGTTCAATGATAAATTCAACGTATAGTTTGCTCGACACCCACACACATTAATGTACACAGTATACGTTAATGATGTTGAAACCAAGCTAAATTAGACTATATTTGAGCTATGTTAAATTAATATCCGTTATAATCATTTTATGACTCAAAAATAGTCGCTAAATATCTTATCGTTACATCTCATTACAATCAATTTATTTAAGCGTAAAGGTGTATATCTAACCACCGATCAGAAACCCAGACATTTAATTAGCAAATTTGCTATAGCAACGTTAACTGATGCGTCGCAACACCCCTTAAGGGGGATTGCCGTAGGTGATGTCGCTCAGGTACGGAATGGGATGGTTCCGTTTGCCGCTCCCCTTGGTGTCAATGCCAGGATGAATCCAGGACTGGGTAGGGGAACTCCTGAAGCTCTTCAGAGAAGCCCTAAGGACGGTAGTAGCTCGATGGTCGAACTAGGGCTGCAACGATCAATACGCGCCCGGACGGCCCTCGCTGGGAATCCCGTACCCGGTGGAGACTTCACCGAAATAACCCCACTATTAAATATTATGTCATGCTCGGGTTGGTTATTTCTACAGAAATCGTGAAATATTCAATGTCAACTTAGGTTATATCAAAAAGTAAAAGTTAAACGATATACACAATTGTTAAGGTCAAGAATATAAAATGTTATCAAAAACAAAGAGAAGAAATGGATGATACTCTGCGACGAGCTGGAGCAATACATTTGAGGTATCGCATTTCAAATAGTGACGAAAAGATTAGGAGCGAGAAAGAAGGAAAAGATTGATGAAGAGATAACAGAAGAGCAATTCAAGCTTCTTTTCCCCATACAGCAGGAAAGACAAGAGAACGAGGAAGATGATACAGAACAACCAATATCCCCTT